GAAGCTTTTCAGTATTTCACTTTATCAGCTGTATATCGGGGATATTTACATGGTGGGAACTCTGACCTGTGTGGATGCGGATATGCTCTATTAAGCGAGCCATGCCCTTGTTTGCATAGCTGCAGTAGCTGCATTTATACTTTCCATCGCAGGTCCTCTCCAGGCCATCCATCTGCACATCTGACCCATCCTCCACAGACAGTCTCACCTCCACAGACGGGGGGTCCAGACCATTTTGCTCGCACCTTGGGGCAACTACAAACAAACACAGCATGACTTCAACATATGATTTTTCTTAGTGAACACGTAAATCAGTTGTTTGTATATTAGTGTGCTTTCTTCTCACCGGCTTGAAACGACTCCGCTGTCTCTTTTTCGCCACACACGGAGCCTGAAATCATGTTGACATGCTGGGTTTGTTGGGTCAGGTATTCTTGAAATTCCTTTACAAAATCCACGGGCTCGGTCTTTATCTCCTCCATGTTCCTTCTCGTGTGCTGAGCCTGAAGAAAAAGATTAAAATGTGATGGCGATGTACTACAAGTCTGCTTTGGTATTCTGACAGCAGCTAACCTACTGCTGCTAGCGGTCTTAATGACTAGCCTACTGCTTTTAGCAGCAGCGCTAACATTACCTAGATTTAAGCTCTTGTATTTTAAATTTTAACACCCAAATTAAACTCAATCGTTACTGTGGTCCATATTTTGCCGTAACAACTCTAACAAACGCTTTTTCTTCGAGCTAACAGCAGAGTTTAATGGGACAGTTTATCATCTCATGCTGTTACCTGGCGAACATGCGATCGCTTCCGTTTTTTCTGATATGTTAGCGGCCACCCAAACGCAACTGTTGCCTTCTCTGTTATCGGAAAAACATAACCTATGTTTATTTTCGTATGGGGCTGTCGTTCTCTTTCTCCCTTCCACTCTATCTATAATATATAACTGGTCGTCATTAATATATATTAATATATATATATATTTATATATTTATTATATTTTTTATATGTATAAATCTGACTATGCGTGAACCACACGGATCAGAATAAACACACAGAGATCTGAATATGCGCACATGGGTTTCAGTACGCACAAACAGATGGAAACACACGCACATTCTCACAAGTCTACAACAATGGCCCTATATTATTGCACAGGACACATATATGACACTGGCATAAGTTTGTCTCTTTCGTTTGATTTCTTAATTTAATAAGTACATACAAAAAGTTAAAAATTCACAACATTAACAGGACAGACAGTGAAGCACTTGCCATTTATGTTTTTTTTTCTCCACTCCTGCTCATAAAGATAATCCCACAAGGACATGTTAATGATTAATGTATTGCCATTAAAGTCTCCTACGTAGTGTAACTTCTTGTGTCTGACTCTTACAGGAGGTCACTGAAGGCAGAAATAGAAATGAGCCCTCTGGTGGACGTACGCTGCTAAACATTTCATAACAAACATCATGGCTGCCCCGTTGGTCAGGATTTTCTCAAAGGTTATACAGAATTTTTAGGTCATTATTATTTGCATTTGAAGAGTTTCTGCGCTCATTTGAATCTCTTTTCTACGGTATAACCCTTTTTTATCATTGAATTTTGTAACCTGTCTGGCTCTTGCCTACGTGGCGTTTTTAGCTAACTGATGCTAATATTTGCTAAAGCTCAAACCTAAGTAGTTTCATCCCAAAATAGTTTCAACACTCAGTCCTCAAACAGTGGTCAACCGCGCCCGACATTACTGCGTAATGCTCAGTCACACTGTGTGTTCATTACTAATTATTTACTAAGCGATGTTACATATTTCTACTGCTGTTTGTTTTTCAGTCTTTCAAACAACTCTCTCGTCCATGGGGGGCATGCCAGGCAGGGTGGAGGAGCACTTCCTCCAGATCTGTCCCAGATGTGGCTTCACACCATCCCGCCGAGGTGGTCTCCTCTTTCCCTCCACTTCAGACATACACAGAGGAGGAAGGCATGATGAGGGAAGCAGGTAAGCAGGACCTCTTGTTTCATGTTGCAGTGCACAGCTGGAGACAGGGTTTCTTAAAACGCTAAATATCTGCATTGCTGTTTGACAGTGAAAAAATATGCACAGGAGCGCATCGCCCCACTTGTGTCACAAATGGATGAGAATTCGCAGATGGATAAGGAAGTGATCAAATCCCTCTTTGAACAAGGTGTACGTAACTAATTTAATCGTGAATTAACATATATGTCATTAAAAGTACGCCAGTGTCATTTTTTTCCCTTCTAGTGACTCATTTGATTTTTGCAGCTCATGGGCATTGAGATCGACCCCGAATATGGCGGGACTGGCTCCTCGTTTTTCACCTCTATTCTGGTCATCGAGGAGCTGGCGAAGGTGGATCCCTCTGTGGCTGTACTATGTGACATCCAGAACACTCTGATCAACACGCTGTTTGTCAAACTCGGTACCCCAGCTCAGAAAGAGAAGTACCTCAATCGACTGTCAACAGACATGGTAAGCAGCTTGATAATCTGGAAGAAATAAAACAGTGTACATCAATTCAACGTTAATGTTGTCAAGTGCAACTGATTAATGTTTTCTGATCATGCTTTCAATTCTGTTTAGTTTTATTTATTTATTTATTAAGTGCTCACAGCAGCAGTTGAGTAAAGGAGTGGACATGGTCAGCAACAAGACTGTTTAATTGAAGTGTTTAAATGATGCTTAGTTGCTACTAAAGGGCTAAAGGCTAATACGAAAATATCTCAGACAGTGATTTTACATTTTAATATTGCCCAGTTTATGTGAGCCCTTATAAATTGTGGTCTCAGTTTTCTGTTCTTAGTTTATACAAGAGAAACCTGGTGTGGTCTTCTGCTGCTCCAGCTCATCTGCTTCAAGAGCACTGAAAGATGCTCTTCTCCAGGACTTGGCCATAACCAATAGTGATTAATTGCCTTTTATCATGAAATAAGCATGGCCTTCACTGAATAAGACACCTTCGATATGCATTAATGTGTCCCTTTACTGTCATGAATTCTGGCTTTTGAGCTTGTACACTGTTAATAAGTTGAATGGTCTTTCTCCTCATTAGTCCAAAGATTTGCTATTTGATTCCAAAAATCATCAAAAAAAAGGAAACATTCTTTGTTTTATCATTCATCATGTGATTTGTGTTCTTTGTACTGGTTTAATCTGCTGTTAAGTCAAAGATATTTATTTATATATATATACATATATATGCCGTTCTTTTTTGGAAACCGTATGTGCTATTTTTCTATATTTGTTCCTTGTTTATTTGTATTTTATATTAGTATTTTTGTATTATGTATACCAGATTGGAAGCTTCTGTCTCTCTGAAGCAGAGTCGGGAAGCGATGCTTTTGCTCTGAAGACGCGTGCTGAAAAGCACAAGGACTATTATGTAATCAATGGATCCAAGATGTGGATCAGTAATGCAGAGCATGCTGGTGTTTTCCTGGTAATGGCCAATGTGGATCTCTCTGCTGTGAGTAACTGTTGATGTTTCTATTCTCAGAGTTTGCAGTATTTCTTTTTGAGCCTAGATTTTTAAGGCCCCTCTCAACAGTCGCTTCTGAGCTTATAATCTAATAACAATATATTGATTGCGTTTATTTCTTTATCTTGGAAATTACCAAGAGGTGCTGGATTTTTTTAAACAAATTCATTTAACAAAAACATCAAGTGAAACTATACTTTATAATACCCACCCTCTATAGGTTGTATTGATGCTTTGTGGTGATTAAATGCGTTCCCTTGTGACAGAAAGGTAAATATAAAGTCACCTTTGTTTGGCAGGGATACAGAGGCATCACCTGCTTCATCGTGGACCGGGACACCGAGGGGCTAGAAATCGGCAAGAAGGAGAACAAGCTTGGACTGCGGGCCTCCTCCACCTGCCCGCTCAACTTTGACAATGTCAAGGTGCGACCATACATCGTGTACGTTACCAGAGAAATGCCTGGCAAGTGCGTTAGATAGATTTTTTTAAACTCTGCTCTCTGTTCTAGGTGCCAGAGAAAAACATTTTAGGAGAGATCGGTCATGGCTATAAGTATGCCATCGGGATGTTGAACGAGGGTAGGATTGGAATAGCAGCACAGGTAAATTAAAACACAAAATCTGCTCTGTTAAAATGTCAAATTCAGCAGGGCGGTGTTCTAACTCTGTGTGTGTTTCAGATGCTTGGACTGGCACAGGGTTGCTTTGATCACACGGTTCCTTACACCAGACAGAGGGTGCAGTTTGGAAAACGTATCTTTGACTTCCAGGTCACGATCCATATTTGGACTTTGGATTTTTTACAACACCTTGTGGTGATAAGGCTTTGTTCGATAAATTCTGATGCTGCTTTTGGTGCTCCTTATATTCCAGGGGATGCAGCACCAAATTGCCCATGTAGCAACGCAGATTGAAGCCGCTCGGCTGTTGACGTACAACGCTGCTCGTCTGAAAGAAGCCGGAAGAACTTTCATTAAAGAGGCCTGCATGGCTAAATACTTCAGCGCAGAGGTGAGCATCCTGTTTTTGTGGTAGTTCACTGTAGGACAGAATAAGGATATTTTTGGACCTGTTTAGGTATGTTGCCATAAAATTATTTGTGTCATGATTTCATACAACCAATGGTAGAAGAAGTAAAAGTTGTTGCTGAGACTCTCCTGAAGCCATGGCAGTTTTTAGGTTCTGTTACATCCTATCATTTCTGTGATATCTCTGCTGCTGTCTCAGCTAGTAATTATTTTTACAAGTTCAACTCAAAAAGTTTTTTTTTATTTTCTCTGTCTCTTTTTATAATTTACTTTCTTCAGGTTGCCACCCTTACCACATCAAAGTGCATCGAGTGGATGGGAGGAGTAGGCTTCACTAAAGACTACCCTATTGAAAAATACTACAGAGACTGTAAAATTGGTGAGCCTAACTCGACAAGTGTGCTTGGACTCTGGATCACTCTGCAAATATTGGCTTGTGTTTGTATGCTGTTAGTGAGATTGCTGCTTAAATAAGGTGTACTTAGTGTAACTGTGCCTGGAGTCCTACTGTGAAAAGAACGAAACTTGTGAGTGCTACAGGAGGGTCAGGTGTAGATGTTCGTGATTGGACCAGAGTGGGGCGGAGAGAGAAGGCCCGATAGCAGTGGCTGTAATCGGACTCTGCTGGAATTCCCCAGTCTGACCCCTCAGAGTGCCATTATACCAGCACACAGCCAAGGAAGCTGCCATTTCAAAATGTTACTTTTCCTTTCATCACTGCCACTTTGGCTCCCGAGCTCTCCGGCTGGAGCACCGGCAGACCTAGCTGCACGCTAAGCCTCCTTGTCTCCTGCTAGTGAAAGCGGCGGATTCATGTAGTGTGCAGAGGAGTTTGACAAAATGGACTTTGTTGTGTATGGCAGGAATCTGTGCTAATGCTTTGTTTTCTCTCTTTGTGCAGGTACCATTTATGAGGGCACGACGAATATCCAGCTGTCCACTATGGCCAAGTTCATTGATAAGGAGTACAATGTTTGAAACTCTATGAGCAAAGCCTAAACGATTGTACTGTGCGATGTTACACTCCGCATTTTTTCCCCCCCAGTGATTATAATGGGATTGATCCAGACCATACTACTATAGATTGGTTCTCATGCAGGAGCTCATAGTTACTGGTGTTTTGGTTACATTTCTTCAGGTTTAGAGATAAAGCTGCTCTGGTTTAATGATGTTTATTTTGCTTTTTGTATCCAGTGAGCTTTCCATCGGTTCAAATACAATGAGTAACAAACTGTATATCATTTTAAGACCTTTACAACCTTCACCCCACATTTGTTCTAGGATTATTATTAATGTAACAGTAACATAAATGATCCATACATTTGCAATGTGGGAGTTAGTTGTTGAAAGCTGATGATTAGGATTATGCTTTGGTGCCTTCGGAAGATTTGCGATTACTGAGATCAGTGATGTAAAGGTGTGTGTTCTCTCTGTACAGCAAGTGATTCTACATCCTTTTAGGAAATCATCTGTAAAGAATGATCTGTCAGTACTATTAAATGTGAAGTATGCTGTAGTGCATTGTATGGTTGTTTGTATTTGCTGAGGAGTCCAGGTTAATACCAAGTTCTCTCACTAGATGGCAGCATTTTCCCGAGTGACAGCCGCTCACAGAAGCGGCAGTCAATTATCATGTCTTTTAACAGCTTGTCACCTCTAATGATATTTTATATCAATTTAATTATGGCGGTGCTTCAGATGAAAAGAGCTCGCCTTGCATAATTGACTCATTGATAATTTTGTGTGTGTGACTGATTACATTTGCACAGGCTACATGTGCTGTGCAAAATAAGGTCTATTGTTTAAACAGCTTTTAAACTTTTAGCCAAGACTTCTTACAAATAATTATGTGGTGCTATTCTTTTTTTTTTTTTATCACTGTCAAATAATGGAGAGGGAAAAATTAAAACAGACACGGATACTGTTTGATGATTTTTATTAGTCACACCGTTTCCTGGCTGTAATACAGAAACTTCATGTTTTTGTAGCAGATAATTTTATATTAAGATTTGCTTTTGCTTCTTATTTCATGTATTTGTATAATAAATTTGAAGAGTGAAAGGGACTGAAATGTCTTTGCCCTCATAAAAAAATTTAGGATTATGAATTATACTGATCTAAACGATCAGTATAATTCTTGACACCACCACTGTATCTGTAACAAAAGCTTTGAGTTTAAAGATGAATTGAGTGTTATTTACTGCTGGGACTTTGCTGATAGAAGTTAGAATCAAACGTGCTTGGCTGCAGTGTAATTGCATACAAACACCTGTTCTTTAAACCTAAATTTCTCTTTTTTTTTCCTTTTTTTTTTTTAATCACATAAAGATAGAACAGAAAATCAAGCCTGCATTTGCATCACTGATACAGTGTACTTTGTTTGCCCCTCTGATCCACTCTGGCTCGTGGACCCTCCCCCCCTCTCTTTAATGAACATAATCTGATGAAAACACAGCTATTTGCTTTTCACTTTGCTTCGGCAAAATGCTGCTCAGCTAGCCTCTTTCTCCGCCCCCATCTTTAACACAGCTATGAGACCTCTAATTATGCAAGGATTCAAGTAGCTTTTCACAAAACACAGTGTTGTCCTCTAGAGCTGGAGAGCGCTCCACGAGCTAAAAGGACAGGCTGCATATTTGCAGGTTGAGCAAATTCAATTTGTTTGATTAGTTCTCTGCATTTGCTTCAACTTTGGTTTAAATTGTGCATCTTAAATGTTTTTTAGTGTCTCATTTTTTTTCTTTGAGTATCCCTATACCGAATAGACACGCAAAATGTTGATATCTCTTCCGTTTTTGGAGATGTATGCCCTTAGTCTAAATAGAGATCAGAAAAGCAGTGTGCTTATAAATTCATTTTCTTTCCTGGTCTTTCTTTCGTTCATCATACGCACAAATAAAATGTGACCAAACAGCTCTTATACATGTCTCTTCAGGTACACAATTGAAATTTGCTTAATTCAAGTACTAGCACTGTTGTGTGTGTGACAGAAACAGGCCTATTGTCATCCTTGCGCATTAGATCACCTGCTGCCCCTGTGGGTTTGTCTGCTTTGATACTAAGCTGATGTGAAAAGACTTTATCACGATGGTTAAACATTCAATTTGATGTCTGCCTGTAGCACTTCCTGGCTAATAAAATTACACCGAAGTCAATGCGCTCCGGTGCAGGTGAAATGGACAGCTTTCCTGCCGAACACACGCGCGTCAGGACGCAACAGAAGAGTGGCACGCCGAAATCGTGCGTCATAATGTTCCGTCCGCGTTTAATGACAAAAATCATTAAATGACTAAATATTTAACAATTTTCTGAATCTTTTTGTGCGTTAAGAATAATACTTCGCCATTTTGTTATTGTATATCGTAGCTTACATTCGTGCGTAAAACCTATGCGTAATTTGTTTAATAAGGCTAAGTTGCTTGATTTCGCTGGACCATTTAATCAATGGACCATTTATTCAATTTACTGACAGGTAATTGTGGCTCGCGCACACCCCTCATAACCTTGATACATTTTCCTCTTTTATCTAATTGGTTGACAAGTGGGTGCGTACTGCTGAGCCCGAAGCCAAAACTCTCGCGCGGCCTTTTTCTTTGGAGTCCATTCTTGTCAGACCCCCACGCGGTTTCATCTCAAATCCCATTTGCTATTGTACCTGTCCAATAGCAGCGACCGAGCACGCTTTAACTCGGATGGCATTTTTATTTCATCACTACGGTCAGGAGCAAGACTGACGCAGTGATCTCTGCGCTCTCACGCTGATCATTCTCGTGGGGGGGAAGCTGGGCACAGCTTTACGCGACTTTCTGAGTTTTCCCTCCATCTCATGCGAACTATTTTAGCTCGGACTTTAACGCCAAAGAATCCTTTAGATCTGTTTAATATCTTTTTTCAGCTTTTGATGGTGATCCCTGTCGGACAGTAAACGGTGATGGCAGACTCTGATACTCAAGAGGCTCGCCAACCTGCAAAAGACTCGCCGTTCTCCATAAAGAACCTGCTGAATATTGAAGACAAACCCACGAAGCCAAAAGGCATCCTCGGCTCGCACAAGGGGGTTTTGGAAGGCAGTTTCTTTTCTCGGCTCGGTGATTTGTCCGTTCCTCGATTTGAGCTGCCAGCACAGAGAATTGGACTATCCGCGCAATATCTGGAAAGAGCATCTACCTGGTGGTACCCCTACACGCTTGGAGCACATTTTAGGACTGGAGGTAAATTATTGTATTGCTTTAGACGAGGGACGTATAGTGTTTTAATATTAATTCACGTTCTTCTATCGGGAAAAGCTTTGGTGTATTCAACATCGTGAATGGATACGTAAATCTTAATAAAAACGTTTTAAATACTTAAAACTCTAAATTAAACTTAATGTATCCCAACAATAAACCTATTACATAAAGGGGAAAATAGAATAGAGATAGAGGTAGGATAGCTTTCACTGCAGAATGTTTTGTCGTTGAAGAATAGGTTTTAACAAAATAAAATGTTTTTCTCCAGGGTCTGAGAAGGTCAGCTTAAGAGAAGCATCACAGGCACCGGACAGGCGCTCTCCGGATCTCCAGAAAAGTGATCAAGATGCCAAAGATGAAAGCGCCGACGACGACATCGCCCTGGATGAAAGTGACTCGGAGGAGCCAAAGAAAGAAACAGACCAGGAGGACGACTGGAGGAGAAAAAACGACGAGCTGGACTCCGAGAAGAAGCCCTGTCGGAAGAAGAAGACGCGCACCGTGTTTTCCAGAAGTCAGGTCTTTCAGCTGGAGTCCACTTTCGACATTAAGCGCTACCTGAGCAGCTCAGAGAGGGCAGGCCTAGCCGCGTCCCTGCACTTAACCGAGACGCAGGTGAAAATCTGGTTCCAGAACCGGAGGAATAAGTGGAAAAGGCAGCTGGCCGCCGAGCTGGAGGCGGCCAACCTGAGCCATGCGGCGGCACAGAGGATTGTGCGGGTTCCCATACTCTACCACGAGAATGGAGCCCCAGAAACGAGCGGGGGCCCTGCTACAAACTCACCGGGCGGCCAGGCACTCCTGGCTTTCCCCCACCACATGTACTATTCTCACCCAGTCCCACTGCTGAGGCCCGTTTAACATTTGTGTCATAAAGCATTGTACATATGTTTTTAAATGAGAGTGATTAACTGAAAAAAATTGTTTTGTATATTTTGTAGATTGAACGGACACAGTTATTATTATTATTATTATTATTATTATTATTATTATTATTATTATTATTATTATTATTATTATATGTAATCATGCTTTCTTCTACTAAAGTGTCCTTGAGCAAGACAGGGTCCCTTTTACAGCTCCCACGCGTGTGGGGAACAAAAGTAATGGATTTTCTGGTTATTTTCTTTTTCTTTTTAATTATTATGATCGATTTTGGGTGCATATATTTGAACGTATTAAGTTGAACAGGGTTGGCTGTCTATATGTAATTTACAGAGATTTGTGTCAGTGTTTGAATGTGGAATTCAATATTTTAATATTTTTCAATATTGTGCAATACTGTTGGCTTTAAATTAGGCTGCCAGCCTTTGTCTCCCATAAGCCTATAGCTCACTTGGTAATAGTCAGGACAATCATGTCATTCTTAAAAGACCCCCCACCCTCACCCCACCCCATCACCAAAAAAACAACTGCAGATGATACAGGCATTTGTCTTTTTGACGCAGTGGTTGGCGTAATTTTAAAGCCATGAAAAAGCCAAAAAAGCCTCTGTTTTTTGTGTATGGTTTTCTTCTGATGTTGTTATTGAAATTCTGTATATTATATGGTCTCGCACTCAGTAAAAATTAATTCAAGCAAGAAATGTTTCCTTTTATATAGCCTTGGTGTGTGCAACACGAATGTTTATTCAAGTCATGTCGTTCTTGGTTTCAAACATTTGTGAGGGGTCTGTTCTTAAGTTTGCTCTAATGCTGATCCGTGTTTTATTTTGGAGTCTATCGAAAATAAAACACGGATCAGCATTAGAGTGGCAACAATATTTATACCGATCACTTAGAAAATAAACAACTGCATTCTAAATAATAGGAACGTTGGATGAACCAAATGTTGGGTTTCTGTGAAGCATTTAGGCCTCAACGTGAGCTCTTTTAAATCTCATCATCTTATATATATTTTGCTTTATATAATTAAGAAAAAGTATTGCGGAAAACATGTCCTATAATTAGAAGAAGAAAACTGTCACATATCCACACAAATTAGAATGTACTAGCCTAAATTACAAAATGAATCTGAAAGATTGAGAGCCGGCCTTCTTAATTTTTCATAAAGTCATCACGTTACTATATGCTTTATTTTATTATTCTTTTTTATTATTTTCCTTAATGAATAGCGCTTGAGAGCAGCTTAAACTAAAATATACCATTACAGGTGCCTCAATATGGTTGATTTATGGTGGTTAATTTATGTGGTAAATTCCTAGTCCAACTTCAAAAACCAAAACCAAAAAGCCAAAAACAAAACAACGGACAACAAAAAAAGGCGCATTGTACAGGTGCCTGTTTCAAAATGTGCTCACTTTTTTCTCAGCTTTTCTGCTACCTGTTTACTTAACATGAGCTATACAACTTCATGATTTTAGAGTAAAACGACAGATAAATGCATGCATAGATAGATAGATAGATAGATAGATAGATAGATAGATAGATAGATAGATAGATAGATATCAGGCCTATTCATCTTAGAAAGTAGGCTCTAGGAAGAAATACGGCGTAAGACAGAAAAGGGACCCATGTCACGTGTTCTGTATTGAGACAACGGAAATAACCATAGAAATCAGCTCAGCCAATGAAATCGCAGGCGCGAACTTGAACATTTCTTTCAACCAATCAGCGCCTTGTGGATTGTCGGTAGCGAGCTATCCTCACGCAGCCACATTGTGTTCTCGTATATTCATATATTTTTATAGTTAACTAAAAAGGTATAATAATCGCTCTTGACAAATAAACCAACTGGTCACGTCCGAACGACATCTGACTGAAGCGGTAAGTGAAGTGAAACTACTAACATTTGTGCTCGTTGCTTTTACCCTTTCGAGCTAGCATTAGCTAACACCAGTGGCAAGAGTAGTAGTGGGCTTGGTGTAATTCCTGGATTTAACTGAACAATGAGTCCAGTCAGTGTGGAACAAAAAGTAATGCGGTTATAAAGTCACAAGTAACGCAGTCATTCAACTGACAGAAAGGCTTATAAACATGTATTTTAGTTTATATGGTTGCTAGCTACTATTTGGGGCGGGTATTCTGTCGGTGGGCTGCATTGAAAACAAGCAACAAAGCCTTTAACCAACTGCTGTTAGGCTGTGGTTGCGACCAGGGAGTTTATGTAGCTTTCTAATGTGTATGAAAACGCATGTTTGGTTTTCACTGAAGCCACTAATAACTTCTAAGTAATAGTAACCCTTTATAAGGGAGTCACTGAAAGACGTGGAAATTCAAAATTTCTAATCTGAAGTGTCATTGGAGCACGTTGTGTTGCAAATCACAATCAGTATAATGACTCCTCCCCATCTTAGGTAAACATGTTTCCAAAAAGTGTGTCTATAAAATAAAGTACTGGAAAAACTTAGAGATTTTAGGGAAACATTTTTATCTTGAATAATACTGGCATTTGTCACAACGATAACAGCAGTCCTGTTCTGTCACAGGCCTTATGATACTTGGTGAAGCTTCTGTAAGGTGACATAATTTCCAATAAGACATTGTAACTAAATATTTATCATTTTCAGCAACAATTAAAGTTTTTTCGCTGCATGTGTATCCACCTGGATCTAGGGTTTATATACGGCATGGTACTTAAAAAAAGGTTCCAACTACACAAATGCAAAATAAAAGAGAGAACATAAATATCCAGCCATCTTTGAAGGTGAGCACTAATAGTGAAGCCTAAAATGAATCTAAAATGGTGATGCAGAAATTGTAAATGTATAACAAGGAGTAAAAAATGGTATAACTAGTGGTGGTACCACTTATTTTCTCTTACATGTAATTCAGTCCAAAATAAATTAATCACATATATTGAAATACTAAGTCAATTTTAGCAGTAACAAGACTCACGGTAAAAAAATACATGGATGTATGCTTATAAAATGAACTAAATATAGCATCTGTGGTTCTATTTATAGCCTAAAAATGTCAAGTGGAATACATTTGTCACTGAATCACTTTATATTATTACACAAACTTGTGGCAAGGTTCAATATACAATTGACATCTGCTGTCCTACGTTTATAATAGTTTTTTATTTTGTTTGTTTCTCATAACACAAGTATGGCTTGCTAGATACATCCGGTGTGTGTCTAAAATGGACTTGACATCCCTTGTACCAGTTACAGGTGAACAGGTCATATGATCAAATATGTTGCTATAATTTTTATGCCACAGACGTCTCAAATTTGTAGAAATCCTAAACAAACAACACCTATCTCAACTTCTATCACAACTACACAACTGGAACTATATCAAGCATAGCTTTGGTCAGCTACCAGTGTTCATTTCAATTTTACGATGAATGGTATGGGAGTAGATAAGGGTCAAAAACACAATTCCCCAATTTGTGAAATAATACTGAAGTGTCTGTGTGTGTGTGTGTGTGTATATATATATATATATATATATATATATATAACCTGATCTTTGCTGACTCACTGGGAGGAATCCATGGCTCTACAATTTCAATATGAAGCATTGGGGTGCTAATTTTGGCTATTAACTTACCAAATATAGCTCCTTGCCCAATAAAGTGTTAAACATTTCTGTACAGACATTTTTTTCCAAATGAATGAGGAAATGAATAAAATATGTGTTTTGACAGTGTCATAGATGTTCATAGTGGAGCAGTATTTAAAACTGGGCAGTTAGATTGAAATTAACAGCCCAGTTTATAATGTTTGACCTCTGTTGTGTCCTGTTGTGATTCCAGTCTAAATGTCAGTTAGGTTGCATTAAAACACCTTGCAGGGTTGATTACTATTAAAGTTAAAATCGCCTGCTCATTTTTCTCTGCTGCAGATGACAGGCTCAAACGAGTACAAGCTCAATCAGGGACCAGAGGATGGCATCTCTGCTGTCAAGTTCAGTCCCAGCACAGCCCAGTTTCTCCTGGTTTCCTCTTGGGACTGCACTGTCCGTCTCTATGACGTGGGAGGCAACACCATGCGAATGAAGTACCAGCACACGGCTCCAGTTCTGGATTGTGCATTTTATGTAGGTCACATATTTTCTGCTTAGGTTTCTTCTTGTTATGTTATAGCCTTGAAGTCTGGTGTGCTCAAATAATAAAACCTTTAACTTTCAGGATCCAACACATTCTTGGAGTGGAGGTTTAGATGCACAGTTAAAAATGCATGATTTGAACACAGACCAAGGTATGTTACTAATCTGGTAGGTGGATTTAAAAACTTCCAGTAGTAAAACATATATGTTGGAATGCTTTCATCTATATTCTGCTGGTTTCTTCTCTTTAAACAGACACAATTGTTGGAACACATGATGCTGCCATTCGTTGTGTAGAGTACTGCCCAGAAGTTAATGTCATGGTAACAGGTAGCTGGGATAGATCAGTTCGACTGTGGGACCCACGAACGCCCTGCAACGCTGGCACCTTTACTCAGCCGGACAAGGTAAGTGAATCAGTAGAGCCACCACTGAGCTTAACCATATTGTTTATAAGATTGTTATATACATGTTTTCAGCTCTAAATCACTAGAATTGCTATTAAAGTTTTAAAAAAGAAAACATGACATTTTTGGAGATTCATCCTTTTTCAAAGCAACAAAGTATTTTGGATTCTCAGGAGGGCATTACAGGTTTAGCAGTTGTTATTGAGAATGAGTTGATAAGACTATTAATGAAAACAGGAAAAATTTTTGATGGATTTTATTTACATTTTATTTTGGCTTTACTCCTAATACTGGTACACAGTGATGTAGCTATTAAGATATTTTCTAGAAAGCTCCCTACATTAGACATTGTAATTGTATTCATTTACTTTCCCATAATGGTTAACAAAGAAAAAGATGTTAAGTTTAATATGTTTGCATGTGGTTAAGTAATGTTGTATGCATATGCATATACCTTTCATGATTTTTGG